GCACCGGAGTGGATCGGCCACCGGGGTGCACTGGGCGTGGTCTGAGTTCTCCCGGCTGGGGTCGCCCCCGCCGCCCGCACTGCCCAGTACCCTGGCCTTAGTTTCCCTGCCCGCCCCACTAGAAGTTATTGGTGGGATGGGTGGTGTCCGGGCCGCGATGCCCTCACTGGGACCCCTCAGGACAGTTAGCCTCGGTGGCTACGGTTTCTTTGCGCAATTTTCGCGGTTTGAGTTTCCTGATGCCTGGGGTCCGGAAGGGGGGCGGGGTCCGTAGCGGCACGTGTGTTGGGGGCAGAGTAGGGCAGGCACCCGTTTGTGGTACTCGCCGACTGCTTCGGAGTTGGCAAGAAGATGGGCATCCGGGGGCTGAGAACCCAGAGATGCCCTCACCGGACCCGCCGCACCTCCATCTAAACCAGGTACGAGCAGCCCACCATGGGATGGGGAGGGGGTGAGAGCTGCACCCCGCGTCCACCCATTCGCCAGCAGCCAGCACAGGAGCGCCGCGTGGTCACCGTGGTCTTCCTTGGCCTTCTGCTGGACCTCCTGGGCTTCACTCTGCTGCTGCCCCTGCTGCCAGGACTGTTGGAGAGCCACAGCCGCGCCCACGTGAGCCGCTCCCCCACAGCCGGGTGCCCCCACTCTCCTGCTGCACATGAGGACCTCCCCATGTCTTTGTTGCCTTTATTTGTCTCCTAGGACCCTCTCTATGGCTCATGGCAGCGAGGTGTGGATTGGTTTGCCACAGCGATCGGCATGCCAGCAGAGAAGAGGTACAACAGCGTCCTGTTTGGAGGTAAGGCCCTGAGCCCAGTAGTGAGGCCCGCTGGGGTCCTGTCTCCAATGGATGGCCCTGCTTGGGCTCTCCCCAGTCACTGGCTGCTATCAGTCTGGGTGTCGCATCCCCACGTTCGGGCTCCAGGGCATGATCCTCATATTGTGTGTGTGACATGTCCATATCCTTTCTCGAAAGAGGAAACTGCAGAGGAAACTGCAGTTAGCGTAATGGCTATGTTGCTGGACTCCCACGTAGTTGACCGCAGTTCGAGTCCTGGACCCAGTGGCTTAAAACTCACGCCGGGCACGTGTGCGTGTGTGCCCAAGATCCCGAGAGGAGAATGGAGAAGGGATTGTGGTGTGGCCATCCCCCCTGGGGGGTGATTTCTCAATTTCTGTCTCTCTGTCTCTGTCTGTCTGGCGAGCGCACGCGCCCTATAGCAAAAACCTCTCTCTCAAAAAAAAAAGGAATCCGCCTCAGCTCAAGTCCATGGCCTGTGCCTGTTGTTAGCACTGAGACCATGGCATGCAGCCCCAGGCAGCACTGTGACAGTGACCTCTGTCTCTCAGGTCTGATTGGCTCAGCCTTCTCCCTCCTGCAGTTCCTCTCAGCACCCCTCACTGGGGCCGTGTCTGACTGCCTGGGAAGACGCCCAGTGATGCTCTTGTCCCTGGTAAGTCTCTGGAGCCAGGTGCCCACAGGGGGAGATGCCATCTTCTCCCACTCACCTGGCAGCCTTGTGGGGCTGGCCTGGGCGGTAGGGAGAAAGTGGGTGACTACGGCCCTTTCCTGGGCACTGGTAGGCCTCATTTCTCCCTGGGGAGGGCATGTGAGAGAGCAGCACCCCAGTGGACGTCTGGGAGCTGCTCCTGCCATCTACAGGGCACCAGGAACGGGGCCCTCATGCACTCAGATCAGGGAATCGTCCGAGAGGTATTTTCTGGGTTTGCCAGCCCCACAACGGGCTTCTTTTGGCCTTGAATGATCCCCTTGATCCCTTCCTCCTGGCAGGTGGGTCTGGCCACCTCCTATGTTGTGTGGGCCACCTCTCGGAGCTTTGCAGCCTTCCTAGCTTCCAGGGTGATTGGGGGCATCAGCAAGGGGAATGTTAGCCTCTCCACGGCCATCATCGCTGATCTGGGCTCACCCCCTGCGCGTACCAGAGGCATGGTGAGTGCACAGATCAGGGCAGGGGTTTCTGGGCTTGGGAGCTCCCTGCTCAGCTCAGGTGGCCTTCTCCCCAGGCAGTCATTGGTGTGGCCTTCTCACTGGCCTTCACGCTGGGCCCTATGCTTGGGGCCTCCCTGCCCATGGAGACAGCACCCTGGCTCGCCCTGCTCTTCGCAGTCTGTGATCTGCTGTTCATCTTCTGCTTCCTGCCAGAGACGCTGCCCCTAGAGAAGAGGGTAGGGCCAGGGCCCAGGGCTGGCAACCCACCTTCTGTCTATAGGGACAGCCCCATGTGTGTCAGTCCCAGATGCCAAGGGAGGTTGGGCTGCCCTCTCCAGGTCTCCAGAGGTTCATGGGGTTGTCGTACCTCCTGGGCCCTTGTGCTTCCCAGGGTCCCTGCCCCTAAGGCCTAGCAGGTGGACTGGTGGCTTAGCCAGCTGGTACCCTGCAGGGTACAGGGGCCAAGCAGACTGGGGTCATGCCTGTCCTTAAGCTGACAGGTGTAGAGCCACCCCAGCCTCCTGGCAGGTTTCTCTAATCCCATCCCTACAGGCACCCTCTGTCACCCTCGGGCTCCATGCTACCACCAACTTGCTCAGCCCTTTGGCCTTACTGCGCTTTGCAGCTGTGGCTCGAGGCCAGGACCCACCAGAGGGAGACAGTAAGGAGCCACAACCCCTCACGAGTGTGCTCTCACTCACTGGGATGCACAGGGCACCCCACCCCAAGACCCTGGCCCTTCCCTGCTGCTGTCAGCCCTTAGCACGCCCTCTCACCTGCTCCCAGGGCTCAGCACCCTGCGCCGCCTGGGCCTTGTCTACTTCCTCTACCTCTTCCTGTTCTCGGGCCTGGAGTACACACTGAGCTTCCTCGTGCACCAGCGCTTCCAGTTCAGCACGTGAA